CACAATGGCTGAACTAATTTATATTCCCACCAACAGTGTATAAGCATTTCCTTTTCTCTACAACCTCGCCAGCATCTGTTGTTTTTTGGCTTTTTAATAGTAGCCATTTTAACTGGTGTGAAATGGTATCCTCACTGTGGTTTTGATTTGCACTTCTCTTAGATCAGTAATATGGAGCTTTTTTTCATATGCTAGTTGCCCACTTGTATGTCTTTTGAATAGTATCTCTGTGTCCTTTGCTGACTTTTTAATGGGGTTTTTCTTCCTTCTTGTGAATAGACCTTTGTCAGATGCATAGGTTGCAATTTTTTTTTTATCATTCTGTAGGTTGTCTCTTTACCCTGTTTCTTTTGCTGTGCAGAAGCTCTTAAGTTTAATTAGATCCAATTTGTCAGGTTTTGCTTTTGCTGTGATTGCTTTTGGCATCTTTGTTATGAAATCCTTGCCCATTCTTATGTCCAGAATGGTATTGTCTAGGTTGTCTTCCAGGGTTTTTATAGTTTTGGGTTTTACACTTAAGCCTTTACTCCGTTTTGAGTTGATTTTTCTGTATGGTATAAGAAAGAGGTCCAGTTTCAATCTTGTGCATATGGCTTGCCAGTTATCCCAGCATGGTTTATTGAATAGGGAGTCCTTTCCCCATTGCTTGTTTTTGTCACCTTTGTCAAAGATCAGATGGTTGTAGGTATGTGGCCTTATTTCTGGGCTCTCTACTCTGTTCCCTTGGTCTGTGTGTCTGTTTTTGTCTAAGGACCATGCTGTTTTGGTTACTGCAGCCCTGTAGTATAATTTGCAGTCAGGTAGTATGACACTTCCAGCTTTGTTGTTTTTGCTTAGGATAGGATTATCTTGGCCATCCAGGCTCTTTTTTTTTGTTCCATATGAATTTTAAATTGTTGTTTTCTAGTTATGTGATAAATGTCACTGGTAGTTTGATAGGAATAGCATTCAATCTGTATATTACTTTGAGCAGTATGGCCAATTAAATGATACTGAGTCATCTTATTTGTGAGTGTGGTATGTTTTTCCATTTGTTTGTGTCATCCCTGATTTCCTTGGACAGTATAAAACTATGAAATTTCTAGTAGAAAATAGTGGATCAAATCTTTATGACTTCAGTGTAGGCAGAGATGTCTCAGGACACAAAAAGCTCCAGTCTTGAAAGATTAATTGAAAATGTTGACTTTATCAAAAGTTAAAACTTTGCTTCAAAAGACAGTGTGAAGACAATGAAAAAGCAAGGCACAGATTGGGAAAATATTCACAGAACATACATCTGACAAAAGACTTGTATTCAGAATGTGTAAAGAACTCTTACAACCCAATAATAGGAAGACAACCCAGTAAACAAATAGGGAAAATATTTGAACAGATCTTCACAAAAGAAGATATGTGAATAGTCAACAAGCACCTGAAAAGATGCTCAACATTGTTAGTAATTAGAGAAATGCAAATGAAAACTACAGTGACGGTACTGGATACCCACTAGTATTACTAAATGTAAAGAGACTGAAAATAGCAAGTGTTAACAAAATATGGAACAACTGGAACTCTCATATACCACTTGTAGAAATGGAAAATGGTATAATCACTTTGGAAAAAATGTGCCCATTTCTTACAGTGTTAAACATAGACTTACCATATGACCATGTTACCAGTTCTACTCTTGGGGATTTATCCAAGGTAAATGAAAACACATGTCCACCAAAAGACTTTATTCATAATAGAGAAAAACAGGAAACCACTTATATGTCCCTCAACAGGCGAATGGATAAACTCATTGTGGTATGTTTATATAATGGGATATTACAGAACAATAAAAAGAAATGAACTGCTGATGAAAGATAACAACATGGATGAACGTCAAAAACATCATGGTGGGAAAAAGATGAACCAGGAAAACACGCAATGCGATTCCATTGATATGGGTTCTAGAAAAAGAAAAAACCTATAGCAATAAACAGTCACTGGATGCTCAAGGCTGCGCTTCAGGGGAAGCTCTGCACAAGGCTGTGCATGCAGAGGGGCACAAGAGAATCATCTGACATGTTGGAAACCTCCTCTATTGTGATCATGGTGTTTGTTTACTTAGACTTATGCAGTTTTCAAAACCCATTGTACACTTTCAATTAGTATTTTATTATATATAAATTAAATTGCAATATAAAGTGATTTAAAAAGCAAAAAAAACATACAGGAAAGTGAAGTAGAACTGGACTCTTTTCTTAGAAAAATCTCAGAGTGTCAGCTTGTTTTTTTATCAAAATATGCACGAAATCGGAGTCAGTGGAAGAAAGGTTTTAAAAAAGAAAAAAAAAAGAATTACGATGTCTTCATTTGAATTAAATTCCTACTTACTAAAGTTTCCAACTGCAGTCTGTATCTCAATCCAATGGATTTTCCATTCCAAGTCAACAGTGACCTATTGCTTTTGTCAAGATTCCCAATAACCGAGACATTAAGAAAGTAATTGATACTTCTAAAATGTTAACTGTTAATGTGACCACAAGAGGATTCAGTGTGTCTGCCAGAGCTGAAGTTACTTCTTTTAGAGAAAAGTTTGATCTAAGCCAACTTTTATCCCATTCCTTTAAACTTTCAATAAAGATCTATTCCAAGCACCCAGGCTCTATGACTTAAGCCTTTTTAAAGAACATGACACCTCATTCTGGTGCTTCTGCCTTTAGTCAGTTCAGACAGTTCCTTGTCTCTTTCTTTCTACCTTGGGGTAAACTTTTTTTGCGGGGGGCAGGAGACAGAGTCTCACTCTGTCATTCAGGCTGAAGTGCAGTGGCGAGATCTCGGCTCACGGCAACCTCAGCTTCCTGAGTTCAAATGATTCTCCTGCCTCAGCCTCCTGAGTAGTTGGAATTACAGGTGCCTGCCACCCCACTTGGCTAATTTTTTGTATTTTTAGTAGAGATAGGGTTTCACCAGGTTAGCCAGGATGGTTTTGATCTCCTGATTTTGTGATCCTCCCACCTTGGCCTCCCAGAGTGCTGGGATTACAGGTGTGAGCCACCATGCCCAGTTAGGGTAAACTTTTAATAACAATCAAGAGTCAGTTACTCCTTTCCCATCCTGTCCTTACCTCTTCAGGCCCATGATACTTTTTTTGAGGGGCATAGTGGTGAGGGGAGCAGAATAACAGAATGTTAGAGTGGAAAGGTCATTGTCTGAGTAGTTTATTCCAGTTTTATCATTTTATAGAGAGGAGAACTGAGGCCCAGAGAAGAAGAGGGACTTTCCTAATATCTCATAACTCTTAGAAATGGAGACCAGCCTCCGCCCCTTGCAGGCCCACACTGTCTGGGAACACAGCCTGCTTCTCTCTCTGACTTGGGCTCTTTGGTAACAAGAGAGAGACATTTTCCACCTGTTTTCAAGGACGTTGCTGAAGAACAAGGAACAAAGGGACCATGAAGTGTATGTTGCAAAACACAGATACTTGAAAGCAGTCTTAAGTCACTACCTGCATAAATTACTTTCCTAATCCTTTGGGATGAAAATTCCTGTGGCTCCCACATTACAGAAGAGTTTGTAGTTTTCTTTCTTTTTCTTTGTTTTTGTGAAGCTATGAATTTGTTTTGGAGGAGAGACTTTTCACTTTAGCCTTGCTGCTGGGATTTATGGTAAATTTTTCAAAACTACACTAAAGAGAGAAACATGTCATAAATTTCATCTATTTCCCGAGTCATAACTAGGGAGAACTACCATCTGAAGCTTCGTAAAGGTAGAGACCAGGCTTATTTTCCCTCCTGGTTGGGGTTGTTGCTAATTGCTGTACTGTTATTAAAACAAAGGGCTGGTCTATAAATGCTCCAGAACTAGACAACTATACCCAATCAGGGCTGCAATCAGACCACCCTGTGTTTTATGGACTCAGTGTCTTGGCAATCCAGAGGCATGCCAGTGGAGGCAGAGTTTTTGCTTTGTCTGCTCATTAAACTTTGGAAACCTTTTCTTTGTTTCTGGGCCAGTCATTCTCACAATCTGATTGGCCAGAGTTGATGCTGTTTGAAATGAGCAAATTTTATACTTACTCTGAAAAACAAGTAATAGTTTCAAAGCATATTTATTTAAAAGAGAAAAACTAACTGTTAAGTGAGCAGATTGCCTGAAAATAGTTTTATCTGAACCTTCTTAGACTAGGAAAAAATGTATCGTGGCTGCCAGGTATACATTCACATTTCAGAAGAGAGAATGTTGATATTAATAACTTACCTTAACTGCCTTTAGCCTTTGCACAGCTCCTTAGGATCTGTGATTTACATCCTTTTCCAAATATCCCTATGAGGGCGAAGGTTGGGTGTGTGTGTGAGCGACTGCACTGACTATGTATAACATATTAAGATGTGAGACTTTGAAGTCATTCATTGATTCATCAGATATTTCTGGAGCACTTCCTATGTGTCAGAAACTGTAATAGGCACTAGACTAGAACAGACTAAAACTCCTTGCTCTTATACAACCTACATCCTAGTGCGGTCAACGTGCCTGTGTTGACATGTGTTGCTGCTAGTTGTGTGACCTGGGCAAGCTACTTATTCACATTGAGTTTGTTTTCTCACGTGTAACATGGTGCTCATGATTCCTGCTGCATAACATTATGTGCGAGTTAATGTGACCGTGTATGTGCAGTGCCTAGCACATAGCGAGTGCTCATAAATGGTAACTGCCAAGGTTACTGTCGTCATTTTAGTTGGCAGCAGTTCCACTTGTCATTGGGTTCCCAGGGACCCCCTCTTCTTTGGGGACAGGCTTGCTCTCTGCTCTTCCCTTGCAATGAAAACAGATGAGGTTAGTCTCTGTCCCAGTCATTGTGGAGGTGGGGTCATTCGTATTCCAGCTCCACAGCCCAGTTCTTGTCTCTGCCTGCCTTTTATTGAAGCGGCAGCCATATGGAATTAGCGCTTGTTCAGAAATAACTGCGATGATCATCCTGTTTTGCTTCTCTGGGGTGACAGACTCTAACGTTTCTTTCTCTTTTCTTCTTTCAGATTGTTTAGTGTAATTTTGGAACAATTAACCAAAGAAACAGAAGGCGGGAACCACTCTAGCGGCAAATCTGGAGGCTTTGATGTCAAAGCCCTCCGTGCCTTTCGAGTGTTGCGACCACTTCGACTAGTGTCAGGAGTGCCCAGTAAGCACTTACTGTTTCCTAGAGCTCAGGAGTGTGCTGGTTTTTATCTTCTGGGTGGGTCTCAGAATCACTGGTGCTCCGAGGTGAGTTGCTCTGTGCCAGCCAGGGGTCAGCGGACGACCACAGCCTCCTTCACGCTTGACAGGACACTTTGGCTTATGCTGTCACCTTGGATTCCTGTGACAGCCCCGAGAGGGGGACAGGTGGCAGTTATTGTGATCCTGATTTTGTGGAGGAGAGAATCTTCTCTTGCAGAAAGACGAGGCAGTGGCGTGAGACTTGGGTCCAAGCCTTTAATTCTGGTCTATTTTTCTTCTCTGACGACATGCTGCCATCGGCCCCTCCACTTCTAGTCCTGCTTCTCTGAGAGTGGTGGGTTCTGTGGATGAGGGTGTTGGAGGACTCAGCTGCCTGCCTTTTTTTTCTAAGTGGGGAGCACCAGGGGGCTGGACTCCTGGAAACTCTGATTAGCTCCTCTCCTGTCAGGAACTATGCTACCCAGCTCTGGGGGAAGGGATGAATGCTTCAGCTGCCATAGCTGGATACAGGGCACAGGAGTACCTGCCTTGAAGGCCGTTGTAAGAACTGAATGAGATAATGGAGGGAGAGCCCCTAGCAGGATGCATGGAGCACAGAGCCTCTCAGTGAGTGAGTGAGAGAGTTTTAGCCACTAGGCCCTACCATACCACTCATTGCCAGGCCCCAGTGCAGTTCTGGCTCCAAGCCCCGAGGCCAGGTTAAATCATACCTGAGTTGAAGAGATGCTCTGTCTGTGCCCTAGCCAAGAGCTGTAGCCTCTTATCCTTCCAGAAGGCGTTTGGGGTTGCCTTACTGGGCTCTGCCCTGGTAGTACTACTGTGTTGGAGACTTCAGTGGGTGGAAGTCCTAACACCTTTTTGAGGGCTGGTGCCTCTGAGCAAGGATATGGGATTGCAGGGTGTGCCTGTTTTTCACAACTCATAAAGCCATCAGAAGAACACAGATCACATTTTTTGCCTCTCCAGAAGTTCTTCATGAAATTTTATTGTTGGCACTTAGAATGCACCAAAAATCCTCTGGAAAAAAAAATTTCCAAATTTAACATTTTAAAATGTAGGAAGTGGTGTTTTTATGTATACTTGTTTTTCCAGATGGTTCATTTATTTTCATTGAAAAAGATCAGCACAAGTCAAAACCACAGAACTGTGTGGAATCAATTGAGAAAAATAGAAATACCTTGGAAATGACTGGCTCTGTTAAGTGTAACATGATTAAATGAGAACTTCAGTGAGCAAACATGTTCTTCCAGATTCAGTTGTTATAGCTTAATCTCATTTCAAAGTAACCATGACAGCTTTTTCCCCTAAAGAACAAATAACAGGTCAGCCTGTCTATGGTATGTGTTGCGTGCAGACTTTGGGGGCTGTGGCTGTGTGTGTGGGTGTGTGAGCCTCTGGCCAGCGAAAAATCCAAGAACTCACGTGGCATTGTGTCTGCTTCCTTGGCTAATGAGGTTTTTACTAATCAATTAGTGCAGTGCTCCCAGATATTCTTGAGAATTAGTTTTAAACTGTATTTCTTCCTTTCTCCAACACATCACTGTTTGAAATGGGATAGATTTGTATTTAACTCTCCCCCAGGTCAGCAAGGGAAAAATGTGGGTCTGAGTCTTCTATGAGGACTTTTGAGCTTACCAGGTGGGAACGTCTCAGTCTCTCATCAAACTCTAATAGGCTTTTGAAGGAAGGGATCAGAGGTTGTGGGACGTGCTGTTTCTGGTGGTGGTTGGCAACTGTGGCCTGCTGATTTCTTCTCTAGTACCTGAAGTTGTGAAAAATGTCCAGGAATGTTTGACTGGAATTGTCAAACATTCCAGTTTTACATAGGAATTGTTTAGTCCCTGCTAAAGAGAATCCTGACTGTTCTGTAAGACATAATTTTGTGTGCACGTGTGTATGGAAATATATATTTATTGAGTGAGTGAAAGGTAGATTTCTTTCACAAGGTGGCGAATCAGACATTTGTGGAGTTCTTAACCACCATATTAAGAGACTGAGGGAGAATGGGCAGGAACTCAGAACGTGCCCTGGAGACCAGGCCTCCTGACCCCTGCATTGGTGTCCCACATCCTCTCCATTGCCCTGCGGCCTCAGCACTACTGTGCTGCTCACTCTTTAACGTCTTACCTTGTCCTTCCTTGTTGGACAGGGAAATGTTTATCAAAGTTCAAGACCATCAGAGTGGAAAAGAATCCTGAAGATCATCTGGTCTACCTGCATCTTTTAGACAAGGAAACTGGGGCCTGTTAGAGGTAGTGACTTGTGTAAGTTCTCACAGCTAATGAGTAGCCAGACAGAACGAGACCCACGATCTCCACATTCCTGACCCAGTCTTCTTCCCATTTCTGCCTCCTCGACTAGAGCCCCATGAGTTCCACTGAGATCTACCATATGTGTTGAGTAGTACAAAGGAGCTGAATGCAATAAAGTATACATGTTCACAGTCAGATACAACTTTATTGTCTCATAAATGGGACCAATCTGAAATGCAATAGTTACTCTAAACGTACAAAATATTCATGAAGCTTACTGCCATGGAATTTAGAAGAGCTAACTGCTGGGGGATGATTTTGGATGGCCCATTGGTGTCTTAAGAAAATCAAAACAACAATAGAAACCTGTCCATTGGGATCAGAGCAGGTGTTGTCTTTTCCCTTCCCTGTGTTCCTTACAGGAGGTAGAAATATTGAACATTGTCCTAATTGATAATTTTTGAAAAACATAGCGTTTACATATCCAAAGGTGTAGCACCCAGGGTTTTAGTTGTAATAGAGGTCACAGCAAGGCAGGGTCTTCTGAGTCCAAAATCCTTACTGCTTTTCCCTCACCATCCTCTCCCCTGCTTCTTCCTGTGCTGCTTCTCACGGTAAACGTCTGTCGTGATTGGTACATCTTCTCTTTGCTTGCTGTATTCTGGTTTCTGATGTAAGCATCTCAGCTTCTTGCATCCTTTCTTTCCTGAATATATGTTGGGAAAGTAAGATGATAGCAGAAGAGGGGAAGTTTGAAGGCAGAGGAGCAACAGGGAAGGACAGGGAAAGAACAGGTAGGGAGGAAAAGAGTGAGCAGCACTGTAGTGCTGAGGTTGCAGGCCAGTGAAGAGGACGTGGATGCCAGCGCGGCATCAGGAGGCCTAATGTCTAGGGCGGGTTCTGGGTTCCTGCCCATTCTCCCTTAGTCTCTTGCTCCCTCACACCCAATCCTAATCCTGAGTGCTGCCTCCATCCTCCTTTTCATGACCTGTTTTTCATTCCCTTGGCTGAAAGCCTTACCTACACTGTAGTACTGAGTATGACTCCATGGGTAGCTTCTATTAGGTCAGTGCAAAAGTAATTGCGGTTTTTGCCATTGAAATGAATGGGTCTGAGTCTGAGGATTTTAGATTCAGCAAGAACCTACCTTGCTAAGACCTCCATGGCAGCAAAAATTTTAAATGTAGTAAATTATCATTTCTCTCTCTCCCTTTTTTTTTTTTTTTTTTGGAGACAAACTCTCGTTCTGTCACCTAGGCTGGAGTTGCAACCTCTGCCTCCCAGGTTCAAGCGACTCTCCCACCTCAGCCTCCTGAGTAGCTGGGACTATAGCTGCGCACCACCACACCTGACTAATTTTTTATATTTCTAGTACAGACGGTGTTTCACCATGTTGGCCAGGCGGTCTTGAACTCCTGACCTCAGGTCATCCACCTGCCTTGGCCTCCCAAAGTGCTGGGATTACAGGTGTGAGCCACGGTGGCCAGCCAGAAATAATTATTTCTCATGTTCTTGTCTCTCAAGACAGGACATGTCTTGAGACACATCTACCTTAATGTTATATAATACTAACATTAAACTTAAGAAGGCTCAAGTCACTCTCACCCCCGTCCCGCCCCTCCCACCTCCCCCATTCCTGGAGAACCTCCCTTTTAATGCTTAGTTTTGTTCCCAGCACTGGGATTTGCCTCAAGACCCTGGCTCAAATACCTGGTATGCTCCATAGGTACCTTCCTCTCATTCCGACTCAGTTGCTGAATTCTGGCCTCATTCTGATCTTCACCCTTCCCAACCCAGCACTCTTGAACCACCTCTCTGTGTCTGGCCTGCTGCTGTCCTGTTCCTCTTTCTGAAGCAGCTGCCTTTTGCCAGTGGTCTGAAGTCTGGCTTCCTAACCTGGATTCAAAACCCAGAACCCTGGTTGCAATCGACTTCTCCTTCCTGATTTTCTTTTCCGCTATATAACCACCCATCAAGACTCGCCACCCTCGAGCCCGCACTGTGCTACTCACCTCTGTGCTTGTGGCATTCTGTTCTTCTTTCCTGAAGTCACCTCTCTCCCATACCCACCTGTGGAAATACACCCAGCCTTCTGGCCATGCCTAGAGGGAAACTGCCTCAAGGCGCCTTCTTCACCCCTTTCATCCCTCTTAATTTTAACTGTTGGATATTATTTATATAGCATCTATGTGCTACCCCAGAGTAGATTATTTGTATTTAATTCTGTCTCCTAGAATATAATTTTCTGAAGGGAGACATTTTACATAAACCATCTTCATATTGCCCCAAGCATGAAACCTTCTGATTTCTACATGGTAGATGTTCAGGAGTTTTGTCAGATGGATGGAGAAATGCATGAATGAATGGTGGGCTTTAGCATTGGGCAGTTGCCTCCCTAGACCTTCCTTTTCCCTCTTTCTAGTGGGGGAATTGGATTAGATGATCTTTAAGGTTCCTTTTCAATCTATCTCACATCCAGGCTTCATATTAATGAAAAGCTTTGAAATACCTCTTTGAATTTTATTACTCTGTGTTCTAAATAAAGGAGGCATGATTGGGAATTATACGTATGATTTATTGGAGTGTCTTCCTGGCTCACAAACTTATTTCTTTGTTTTTCTAGGTTTACAAGTTGTCCTGAACTCCATTATAAAAGCCATGGTTCCCCTCCTTCACATAGCCCTTTTGGTATTATTTGTAATCATAATCTATGCTATTATAGGATTGGAACTTTTTATTGGAAAAATGCACAAAACATGTTTTTTTGCTGACTCAGGTGAGTAATGAAAATGGTAGCTGACTTAACTTTAAAAACTTTTGGGTTTCCCCAAAGCAACTTTTGTGGTGGGGGAAAATCTAAAACAAAATAGGAAAAAGAATGTCCAATATACCAGTACATTTACTAGTCAGTTCTCAGTATGAATTATGTTCAGAATAGATGAGAATTCAGTCTCCCTTTCCACCCTGATTTCCTGTGTAATGTGTACTAGCAAACAAGATGAGAGACCTCCAAAGCGAAAACATGAGGCACACCCGCAGCCTTGTGCCAGCTAAGCCTAAGGAGGGTGCTACAAGTGTGAGTGCAGAGGAAAAGAGCGTGGATTCTGACAAGCAGAAATGGCAGGTCTCACTAAGGAGGGAGCATGTGAAGGGAACCTTGAAGGACAAGTAGGATCCTGAGGCATCACAGATGGTGCGGTCGAGTGTCCCAGGCTCTGGCAAGGGTTCTCACCTTCCACTGGCTTGGATTTCCTGATGTTTCTGTCCTGAGTGGTGCAGCCTGTTTGTGTGTTTGCAGATATCGTAGCTGAAGAGGACCCAGCTCCATGTGCGTTCTCAGGGAATGGACGCCAGTGTACTGCCAATGGCACGGAATGTAGGAGTGGCTGGGTTGGCCCAAACGGAGGCATCACCAACTTTGATAACTTTGCCTTTGCCATGCTCACTGTGTTTCAGTGTATCACCATGGAGGGCTGGACAGACGTGCTGTACTGGGTAAGCACCCTGGGGAGAGAGTTTATGGAGTGTTCTTTCCTTGGATAAGTGGGTTTTGTCAGCTAGAGCCATTGGAGAGTTGGCTGGAAAAGAAATCCCAAAGTTAGTTATTTGGGAAGGGAAGCAGATGCTTTCTTTACCAGCAGGCCTCATCACCCTGCTCCCCAAGGGCCTTAGTTTCAGTTGCAGGAAGCTGCTGCATGATGTTGGCTTCAGGCTTTAGTCTTCTATTCCCCAGTGCTGCCTGAAGACCTGGTGCCAAGGGTGCCCAGTGGTCCTCTTTGGAGGAACTCCAGGAAGACAGGGCTATCCTGATTCAACTCTTTTTTTTTTTTTTTTTTTTTTTTTTTTTGAGATGGGGTCTAACTCTGTCTTCAGGCTGGAGTTCAGTGGCATGTGATCTCAGCTCACCGCAACCTCCGCCTCCCAGATTCAAGCGACTCACCTGCCTCAGCCTCCTGAGTAGCTGGGATTACAGGCGCACGCCACCATGCCCAGCTAATTTTTGTATTTTTAGCAGAGATGGGGTTTCACCATCTTGGCCAGGATGGTCTCAATCTCTTGACCTTATGATCCACCCGCCTCGGCCTCCCAAAGTGCTGGGATTACAGGCATGAGCCATGGCACCTGGCCCCAATTCAACTCTTAAGAGAGCCAAAGGGTCACTTTCTAGGTGAGGAGGCTCCTGGACCTCCACAGGTTTAAGTTAATCATTTATACATCAAGGCAGCTTCTCTACTAGATCCTAAAGGGGAGAAAGGGAATGTAAATTGGATCCCTTTCGTACTTTCCATAAGTCAGTACAACCTTAAATCCAGCATGAGTTTCTCCCATGATAATATTTTCCATTCTTATCTTAGTATTACTATAAATCGGCCCAGCATAAACCCTTAGCTGTCTTCCTTTCTATTTGAAGCTAGAGAACTCTGGCAGAAAGGGTAGGAATGGCATATAGACTTCCAGGGCTGCTGGACCCATCCAGCTTGCCATGAAAACTAATGGACATTCTTTCAAGGAGAGGGCCTGATTCCTCTTCTTCCTATTAGAGCTAGAAAGATTTGCTATAAAAAAAAAAGTGCTTATAGTATTTTAAAAGCCATTTCCTAGGGCTGGGTTTGTTCATTAGAATGTAAATAAAGCTCACAGAAGTTTAGAAATTGTTTTTCATGGTACAAGAGTTGCTGGTAAAGACAGCTAGCATATAGATTTTGAGCCTAAATCCAAGTCCAAAGGGGAGGAACGAGGATTCCAATCATGAGTTGTTAAAAGGAAATTAGTAACAAAGTACTTCTGAAATCAGCAGCTTCTAGGTAGAAGGCCTGTACATTGAGAAGCAGCTTCTGATCGTTTCTAAATTTTACATACTTTTCAGGATTTCCTATTACTACCTAACTTCAGAGAATGTAACATATAATGATTATAAATAGGTTTTTGCTTCCCTTTACCAGCTCACAGAATTGTAGATGTCCCTATATATTCAATATTAGACAAAGAAGGTATATTTTTATCTTTAGTCCCCGAAGTGAGTCTAGTTTGATAAGGTTTAAGCATCACCAACATGTTATATCTTGTTTTTCCCACTTACCTTTCTTTTTTCTGGTTGTCATGGGAGTGGGAGTGTGTGTGTGTCTGTTTATGTGTGTGTGTGTGTGCGCGCACGCGTGTGTGTGTGTGTATGCACATCTGTTATTTATATTCATAAAAAAAGTCTTTTCATGAAGAGGAAGGAGGCGGGAGATGATACTGGCTGAGCGAGGGGCATGGCTTGTGTATGCAAGAGGGCCCTCAGGTTAGGTGAAGCCTTCATTTTCACTATTATTTCCTAAATTGCAACTCCTAGTCATATTAGTTGAGGTCTCAATTACAGTCTTCTTTTGTAGTTTCTCAGAAATAGAAAAAGCATTATCAAAATAGCCCAAACTCTGGTTTATCCCCCCCGCCCCAAGCAGGAGAGAAAACAACATTTTGATTTTTTTAAAAATCAAAATCTGTGACTCCTCTCAGCTTTGTTTTCCTCTCTATTGACATGGTGAATTGCCAACTGCTGATCCAACATGCCTTGACTAATGAACAATTTTATACTTTATGTGATATTCCTGCACATTGATTCTCACAATTTTCCTACTGCCAAGCAAGTGTAAAATCTGGGAGTACATGATTAAAGGAGCGAGAACTTCAGGCTCCCAGAGACAAAAGTTTCCACTTACTTTCCTGAGAAGGTTTAAATATCACCTAGGATGATATAATTATTATTTTCATTATTAATATGACAATCAACATGGCTAATAATTTGACAGTATAATTGCATTCTCCATGAATTACACAGCATCTTTATTCTGATGGAGGATCTCAAGTCATTCATAAACTTTATTCCAGTCTGTATCCCTTTATAGAAGGTCTGCAGTCTTGAAGATGGAGACAGTGGAGTAGAGACCATGGAATGTTCCCTGGGTTCTATAGCATATGGTCCTTGATCTAGAACAGGGGTCTACAAACCTTTTTATAAGGGGCCAAAGAGAAAATCTGTTTGGACTTACAGGCCACATTTGGTCACCTCAGTAACGATTCAGCCCTGCCATTGTAGCTAGGAAGCTGCCATAGGCAGTACATAAGCAAATGGATGTGGCTTTATTTTAATCAGACTTCATTTATGAACTCTAAAATTATAATTTTGTGTGACTTTTCTGTGTCATCAAATATTTTGCTTTTGATTCCCCCCCCCACCACCAACTACTTCAAACTGTAAAAATCATTTTTGGCTCAAGGCCATATAAAAGTAGACAGGAAGCTGGATTTGGCCTCTGGATCATGCGGTGAGGACTCCCCGGCCTAGACTAGAACCCAGCACTCTTTCCTTGGCATTCTTCCAGTGGTCAGAAGTTTATGAATCCTTCCAGAACACTAGGGGGCAGCTAAGTAATGTCTTCCCGACTATTCTCTAAGATCTTACTCTCTGAAGCACATCAGGATTGCTTCTAATTACCTGTTGATTGCATTTATTAGCTCATCATAGAGATAGGCAGGGGCCAAGGAACCAAGCCTTCCTAATATTTCATGGGCCATGGTCAGCTGGAAGCCACACTGCTGTGATATACAGCAGTACATCCCTGCCCAGCATGGTGCCTGGCACCGAGCAAGCACTCAGTAAACAGAAGTGATGGCCATCATCCTTCAAGTGTACCGGGCATTTTGCCTCATTAGTGTAGATGGGCCATGTTTGAATATCTATTTTTATCCACAACTAGGGCATAAAGGGAACATCTTGGGAGATAAAAAGAGATTAGATTTTAAATACTGACTGCAAGCACGTTTCTGAATCCTCTAGGCGTTTGCATATGGTGGACAAAGCCTTTGCAGAGCATTGTTTTGCATCTAGTCAAGTTTTCATTCAGTCAGCATTCTCAAGCTCGTTTATGGCTTGCTTGTCACTGCTGTCTCGAAAATGTCTGGCAGGGTCCTGAGAGGGGACATACAGGTGGGTCCAATGTGTAGAAAGGCACACTTAGGAAAGGACTGTTTGGATGTATGGGAAGTGGGATCATTAAGTTCTGGTGGAAAGAAACCTAGGGTCAAGTTCTTTGATAAAGTGAGTTCCATAAATATAATTGAGCTGTTGTTTGACCCACATGTGAGCATTTGTTGCTGACAGAGGCAGTAGGGTGTAGGGCAGGGAAACAGTGTTTAGGCTGGTTGTGTGACCTTGAGTAGGTCATGGAACCTCTCTGGGCTTCTCAAGATGCAGAATTAGACTTATATGATTTAATTTTTCCCTTCAATTTAGAGGAAATTATTTTTTTCCCTTCATTTCAAAGAAATTGTTTTTCAATGTAGGAAATAAATAGTATTGGTTTCAGGAGACAGCTATCCAGATAAATAATATCTGGTGTCTTGCCTTAGCACCAAGCTCTTTTCTCAATGCACACTCCTCCGGAGGTGCTGGCTGTCACACCTTCATGGGAAGTACTGATGGTCAAGCTGAAAATCTCCTTCAACCAGAGCACCTAGGAGATTTCTCAGTAACCAGCCGAGGGCTTGACTTTCTCTTATTGCGTGCTTTGGGGAGTTGAAACAAGTATAGCAAGTTTCTGGAAGTGTTTTCAACAGCTAGAAAAACAGACTTGGGTTGGTCTATAATTTGAGATGTGAGTATGCATTTCAGCCTTTTTTTGAGATGGAGTCTCGCTCTGTCGCCCAGGCTGGAGTGCAGTGGCATGATCTCTGCTCACTGCAACCTTCACTTCAAGGTTCAAGCGATTCCTGTGCCTCAGCCTCCCAAGTAGCTGGGGTTACAGGTGCCTACTACCATGCCTGGCTAATTTTTGTATTTTTAGTAGAGAGGGGCTTTCACTACTAAGTTGGCCAAGGGTTTTACTATTAAGTTGGATAAACTAATTCCAGCAGGAAGGCAGAGGGTAATTCATCCATAGAAACTATACCACTAAGCTTACTGAAAAACCCATATAAAGAAGAAGAAGAAACCAGATACCTGGTGTGGTGGCCTGTGCCTGGCCTGTTGGCCAGGCTGGTCTTGAACTCCCAACCTCAGGTGATCCACCTGCCTCGGCCTCCCAAAGTGCTGAGAATACAGGCATGAACCACCACACCTGGCCTATTTCAGCCTTTTAAAAGAGGGAAAACTGAAGCTAGAAAGAAAATTATTTTCCTGGGCACCAGATGATACCCCTTGATGACTTTGATATAAGTTTTTAAAAAATTAATCTAAATTGAAGTGCTTCAGTGGAAGCCAGGTTCTTCATTGTTGATAAAGACCATGTAGACAAAATCCCAAGCAGTCTCTATTTTCATGTGGGTATTTTTGAGAACAGCCTGCAAGTTCTGATTTTTCTTTTGCATATGGTAAGGTCTAAGAAATGCTTGGCTCTGAAAAGTGGAATGTTCACTGGGAGCAAGACTGGCTCTCAGAGCTGAAGCTTGTCTCTCTTGCCCCACCTTCTGACTTAGAGATTTCGAATTTCTGGTGGACCATATTCAACTCCGGCCTTTCCCCCCAGTCCTCAGCTATCGTTTGATACTTCTGAATTGAGCAAATGTGAATCGAATGAACATCTCCCAAGAAATTAAAAGAGTTTTAAATTTTTTAAAAGAAAAATTTCCCTTCCAAGTGGAGAAGACAGCTGTTATTAGAGCCATTCTCTGGAATACCAGACTGAGGCCTGAAGGACGGTTGGTGAAGCAGATGGCTCAGCAGCTGACGGTTGCCAGGGTCGTGGAAGAGTGAGGTTTCCTGATAAGAGCCCTGGACCTGTCCGTCCTCCACTCACCCTGCTGAGCACCCTCTCCCCTGCTGCATGCACCTCTGTTCCAATCCAGAGGGAAACAAGCCCAGATGGGACTCTGTCACAGGTGCTGACCCAGGCCAGGCACAGGCCACCACACCAGGCACCCAGTTTCTTCTTATATGGGTTTTTCAGTAAGTTTAGTGGTATAGTTGCTCTGGATGAATTACCCTCTGCCTTCCTGCTGAAATTAGTTTATCCAACTTAATTAGATCAACAATTGCAGCCATAGCCCAGGCTCATTCATTACTCTAATTGCCAATGTAAGATGTGCAGACTGATATGAGTTCTATTAAGCACATCAGTTTTCATGTGGCCAAACAGGTGTTTCATAAGGGATTTAATGCCCTCTCCCTAGACTTCAGCAACAGATGTTAGGTAATTTTTTTTAATGTTCACTTTCCCTGTTTGGCTTCTGCATGAGGCAAACATTGTGAAATGCATGAGCCTCATGCTGTAAAGCTAAAACCTGGAGCCAGATAATGTGCAGGAAAGCACATGCGTTAACACCCTAAGGGCTTGCACCTGCAAGGCAAGAGCGATGGCGCTATCCAGACTGTATGTAATTCTTATTGGCTGAAGATTCTGGGTGTTCTGGCAGGGTCATACCTTGGGCCATTCATTCTGTCTCCTGACTGGTCCTTAACACCTTCTTCCTGGAAAGGGTGTTTGCTGAATTTAACACTGACCTGTGCTGCTGGAAAGTTCCATCCAGCTGTGATCCTCAAAGCACCTGTTTGCTCCAGCATGAAAGCTGCTCACCAGCAAGCCTCCCTAGGCAGAGTGTGCCAGGGAGATGGAGTGTGCAGCACGAGCTCATCCAGGTGCAGGGAAATGGGGTTCCTCTGGCCACATCCTTTCACCTCTAAACCCAGTCAGCTCACAGCTGGAGCCAATCTCCCAGGGAGGTCATCTTAGATCAAAGCTATGTGTGGGGAATAAGGGCTGCTTCTCCCTTCTGTGGGTGCAGCTAAGAAAAAGCCCATTCCCCAAAGCACCTCTGTGTGTCACCTGGTTGACCTTGAAAAATTTCCTTTTTTGCATTCATTTTGCTGTGTTTGCACTCACAGATTGCAGATAATCCAGATCTAAGGTGGGTTTGGTTTCCTTGGGTAGGTTTGTTTTCAGTAGAAGATTATTTTAGAAGTTTTAAAAAAAGAGTTTATAGAGTCAAATGGTGCAAATTTGTTTCTATAATGAAGACTTCCACCATCACACATTTTAGACACAAAGTACTAAAATCTTGGGCAGCATAGAAAGTAGGTTCTAGCTAAGCACTAGTTTTGTCCTCTACCAAGACCTTTTATGAAAATCACTTACCAAGACAGTTTCCTGTGAGAAAAAGCCAAATCCCAGCTGATTTGCCTTACTGGGGCCAAAATCTGCTATTATTTGACCTGAAAGCCTTGATGAGGGTGTGTGTGTGTGTGTGTGTGTGTGTGTGTGTGTGTATGGATGGATGCTTGTGTATGTGTACTTGGAATATGTGATGAATGTGTGTTGGCTGCTGTTGTCTCTGATTTGGCAACTGTTGTTTCTGATTTGAATCTAAGTGAATGTTTACTTAAATGTATAGAATGCTATCTCTAATCTGACCCTCTCTCCTTATTAAATTATCTTATTAACTCACTCCTATGAGACCATCTTATTTCTTGCAGATGAATGATGCTATGGGATTTGAATTGCCCTGGGTGTATTTTGTCAGTCTCGTCATCTTTGGGTCATTTTTCGTACTAAATCTTGTACTTGGTGTATTGAGCGGGTAAGCTACACCTCTTTCATCTTGATGCAGAGTCCTGAGGACAGTTGCCAAGACCACACAGGCTTTGCTGGATGAGGGCCGCCAGGAGGGGTTGCCAGACATTTTATGTGTCCTCTGAGATGCTTGCTTTTCTGCTGAGGCTTCCCAAATCAAGCTGTTTCCTGGAACCTCACCAGGCTTCATGAAAGAGAGCTATAGAACGATTATTGACCAGAAATTAATCAGCATTGTTGCTTGAGATTTAAACAATTTCCATTGCTTGCCCTTTTTGTCTGTTCTAAAATGAGATGCATTTATAATTGCTTTATTGGTCTGGATCCAAATATAATGCCGATTAATTGTTATAAAACAGTAGCAAAATCAGCCAGATTGGGTCGGCTGTTGGTAGGCCCTATTTGTAGATTTCAGCAACTGAGCTTGCCCTTATTTGCAGACAATAAAAGGAAGGACCTAGGCCCAGTCCCTGTCCTAGGAGCACTAGCCTTCAGCAAAGCACTGAGGGTCTGGCAGCTGCAACTGGGCTCTGCTCTTTAGTAAATGGATAACTGATAACTGATCTCCTTACATTTTGCAGGTAAATGATGCGATAGGATGGGAATGGCCTTGGGTGTATTTTGTTAGTCTGATCATCCTTGGCTCATTTTTCGTCCTTAACCTGGTTCTTGGTGTCCTTAGTGGGTAAGCAGTTGGATCCGTGTTGCACCTTCTCCCACTGCCGCGTGTGAGGCGACTCTGCGTGTCTCCCAGCTGCTCCCTGACAGCTTCTCTGCATGTGTTTGGACTCTGATGTCCCCTCAGTGTGTTGCTTTTGGATTGAACTGTGATTCTTTCTGCTTGTATCTGTCTGTGAGATTCCGTGTTTTCAATGCTTGCCAAACACTGTTAATTTAATGAAAACGTTTCCCCAAAGCCAGTCATGTTAGTATGTGAACGTGTAAAGGTGGATTACAAGGGAGTTAAAGGAATTCCAGCCTTGGTCTCCCCCAGGAAAGGGGCTGTTGTCACTTGTCCATTTGTGTCTATTAGTACATAACCTGGCCCCTTTAGGTCTCCACAGTGCATTGTCAATACTTCCATGGGAGTTTTAGATTTTACTGTGAAGGAGAAATAAGACTCGAGCACATAAATACTGTACGGTTTCAAAATCTTACTTCCTCAGATTGGGATTCTTTATTAGCTTGGTTTTCTAGTGCTGTCACTGTGAGAACTGTCCCTGTGTTTCAGTTTTAGCCGTAACTTACAGAATCTTTCTCTTAATGCAGAGTGATGACTGACTATTGTGCACACATTTCCCACGACCTTACATAGAACTCATCATTCAGTCACCATTTTTGAAGTTGACTTGTTTATCACTTCCTCTGTATGGATTGACTCTCCATAAAGAGGGGGCAACAGAGACTGGCCTGGAAAGGGGACCCTGCAGGCTCTGCCTTGCCCATAGCTGGAGATGCCATCCCAGAACCCTTGTGGGCAGCGCTGCATCCACACCGACTCTCATAAGCCCCCGGAAGGTGGGGTGCTGCAGAGAAGGGAGCTGGGGGCTGTCTGGCACTCTTATAATCAGCTCCTGTGTGCAGCCATTGCTGGGTGGTGGGGGACAGGCAGGATACCCCACATCTCCCAGAGGAGCCTCTGTCACTGCACTGCGCCCAGACACCCTCAGGAAATTGTGTTGATGGATTTGTTTCCCTGTGAGTTTATCTCCTCCTCACTCACTTTATCTTGCTCTTTCCGAGGCTGTATCTCATGGAAGTGATGTCTTCATGTGTGCTGAGTTAGTGAAAAGGCTTTAATTGCATTTTTGGAAACACTGCCTTTTCCAGAGCAGAAAGCAGAGCACAGTTCCCATCTCGGCTTCCTTTCTGTATCTTCCCCCAAACCTGCCCTGGATTGAATGTAGTCAGTTCCACACCAGGGACGCACACTGTCACAGAAGGTCCCTTTGTAGAGATGGCATGGGCCAGTGCCCCCTGCCAGAGAGAGGAGGGGGGCTGGGCCTGGGTTGGGGCCGCATAACCCTCCCTGCCTAAGCTGCCTCCTACCGATGAGTGGCTCCTCAAGCTCAACCTGAGAAGTGTCTTTCTCCTAGTGAACCTCAGTGGCCTTAGACCAGGGTTGGGCATGTGAGGGTGGTATCTATTCCTAGAGAAGTAACATCGCATTTGATTTTGCCACAGGAGCGCCCTATACAAGGTTAACAGCAATCCTGTTGTAAATTCCTTGGCGCCTCATGTCTCCTAAACCCAACTAAACTGACGGAGGCCATGGAAACCACTAATTTTAACAGTGCCAGTGACATGCCTTATCTCTTAGCTTCCCCAGGCAGGAGCCATTGCCCCAGCAGGCATGATGAAGCAGAGGCAGGAGCCAGATCGTGAGGTGCTTAAAAAAAGAAAAGAGAAAAAGATGGGAGGAGGGGCTTCCCACTATCACAAATGGGGGTTAAACCTGCAACTCCGTGGGAGGTACCCAAAGCTGGAGGATTAAAAAAAGGTACACTCCTTCATGGAACAACCAGTTTACTGAAATGTATTTTGGGGGAAAATAATTTTTAAAAAAATATTTTTTTTCATCAAAACAAAACTTAGATTCCTTATGAAGGAGACTGCAAATGACATGACATTTTAAAAGAAAACCTGAGACTTCCCAGCCATTCTGTCAGTGCATGCTGTGCTCAGACCTCTAGGGGCTGCACATTACCTCCTCTCTACTCCCCCAGAAGTCCTCCGGTAGGGCTGGTTTGGGTATAGGCAGAACCATGTCTGCAAAGCACAGCCTCTCAGCGGTGTTCCTGACTTGGCCAGTATTTCCTGAGATGCTGTAGAGTGCCCGGCTCTGGGCCAGAGACCAGGGTTGCCAAGATGTCTCAGATGCAGACAGTGGCCTTGTGCTTAGGCATTCATTTTCTCACGGGGTAGCCCATTTTGAAGCTGTGCAGAATGGCAAATGTTCAGTGGAGGTGTAGACCCAGGGGCTCTGTGAGCTGCTGTGGAAAGATGAGGAGGCATCTCCCCGGGAGACTGACAAGGGGCTGGCATGCCTCCAGCTCCCTCAACCACTGCCTTCCCTCTCTGCCTGCTACTTTCCCACTTGTATTTTTATTGTTGTTAAAGCAAATGAATTTTCATAAAAATTTTAGCCTTCAGATTCTTCATCATTTTTTAAGGGAACACTAGAGGTACCGCAAACCCAGAAGGTTGAGAGGAAGACAATCTATGTTGCATAGCTCCTGAGGGACTGTCAGATCAACACAAATGTAATCCCCTAAGCACTGAATTAAAACGCCCTCATTTTAGAAATGCGGGTTGAGACCATGTGATTGCCTTCTCATGAGGAAATGTTAGATGGTGCTGTGTCTTCAAGTCTGTCAACCATTTGGAAATACCTGTATCTGTTTCTGCTCCTTGGTTCTTTCCTTTGTGTGGCCATGCCATCCTATTGTATTCTTGAACAGACTTTAATCTGTACATTGGATTTGTTGTTTATCTATTTATAAAGTGTTGTAACACTAATGCCTCTGGGAAAGTCTTTGGTTTTCTAATGGAGCCTTTATCCCTCAAGGTAAGTGTGAAGTTTATGAACTGTAAACCCTGTGTGACCACACATGGACATAGATGAACACTTCCATTTCTGGTCACGTGCTCTGTGGGAGGGGCTGAGAATGTCTATAACTAATGTTGCAATTTAACCTTCAGTTGTCATTGAGGATTTGCTCCCATCATGACCAAGAATTGGAAGGAATGTCTTCTGTAAGTCTGCAGTTTAGACAGATTACACGTGGCTTTTAGAAACTTGGTGATTTTTCCCTTTTCAGATTGTTCATTGTTCATTGAACTCTATCCCTTTTGAGGTTTTCATCTTTAGAATCATGCTAGATTCCCGGGGTGCGGGGGATGGAGCTCATGGGCGGTGAGCTGGTTGACCCTGTCTCCTTCTCCATTTGAGGACCCACCTGCCACCAGCCATCCCTGTGGTGGGGGTGTCTGAGCTTGCAAGATGGGGGACTCCCTAAGCTCCCAAGATGTGTCTCCAACCTCCAGGAAGGGGGCTAGAAGACTTAGGTTCTGTCCTGCCAGAGTCCCATACTCACTCTGGGACCTCACTGAGTTGCCCTGAGCCTCAGCCCCTTTGTCCCTCAGGATATCAAGGATATCCTGTCTTGCTGTCTCCCACACAGAGTGCTTTTCAATCAGCTAATGACTGTAGAAGTGCTTCTAAAAATATATAAAGGTTTTTCTCATTTAACATATCCTTATCTTAAATCCATGGATTTAAGATAACACCCAACGCCCCTCACTGGGTTAGGTGGGAATAGTGCAGGATACTTTTGGAAATTCTGGAGTGTAGCATTTTCTGGATTTCCCAGCAGGTGGCCACGCTTTACACACACATCGACGTTATACTCAGTGTCACCCAAGAGGTGGCTATGGAGGATGTGGAAGCACTGTGTCCACTGTAAAGTATTATGCAGGTCTAAATCATTGTTGTTTAAGTTATATTTGACAATTTTTTTGCATGAGTTGAGGGGAATGGCTTTTCTGTTACATAGTGGTTAAGCATACCAGCTTTAGAATCAGACAACCAGGTGTTGAATGTTTGTTCTACCTTTTACATTTGTGAGAGTTGAGGCAAATTACTTACCTCTGAGCCTTACTTTCCTCATCTGTGAAATGGAGTTCATTACAATACCAATTTTGTGAAGTTCAGTGAGGATTCAGTGAGCTGAAGAATGTAGAGTACTTGACCCAGTGAAATTATGATATTTTAGGAAGTGTGCGTCTCTTCCTGGCTTTGATGCAAGAAAAGTATCTAATCAATTAGTCTTTTCAAATTAATTAATAATAGTTGGCCATGATAGGTCTGTGTTAGTGAAAAGCCCAAGTTATATTTTTAAAATGTTTTATTGTATATATAATGTCATACCCCACTGCTGACTGAAGGATATTACTACATAAACCACCTCCTGGGCTTGTTTTAAAGAATAGGTTAAGATCATTTATAATTCACTCATGAATTCAAGCCTTTAGTTTTGGTAATATCTTACGAAAAGTATTTGAAATAGTTTGTGAAGTAGATCTTGTACGCTGTTAGGCAATAAATGCTGTTATTAAACCAGCTCTTATGACATAAAATTAAATGTAAACCCAGCCCAGGTCTGTAAATTCAAAATCATACAAATTAATTTGTATTCTTGGTGTTCCAGTAAGTTCCAGATCCTTCCAGATCACAGGTATCATTTTAGAGCAATCCAATTTTTATTACTTTAGGCCTATTTATCTTAACTTTAGAAGTTTAAGGGAACGTGGATGAAGTGAAGCATTATGGAAAACCAAAGGTGATTTTTAAACTAGTTTATCTTTGTTAATCTAACCCTCTACACCCCATTCTGGCTAATTGAATACCAGGGGCCTAGACAAAGACTCAGGCGTGGCTGCTTTTAGGAAGCTTTGGTTTCCTAAGACAAAGATGGAGGGGGATGGGGAGTGTCAAGAGAGAAGGTGGTGCCGGTACTGGCGGGCTGTGGACTGACTCTACCAGAATTTTACATAATGGAATTGAGTTCCATCCATTTAAATTCATACCAATAATAGCCAGACAATCTCTGATTTCTTCTACTTGAATGGTGGCTCAAGAGGCAAAGCACACCAGTAGATAGTGGTTGTATCACTCGTGAATAT